ACAAACATGACATTTATAACGATCTACCTTTTAAAGAATAACACTTTCTAGAATGTATACTTTTTAAAATATATGCTTTCTAAAATATATGTTTTCTGAGATGATCTGGCTTGATCCTCTAAAATAATACTTTCAATAATATATATTATTCATAGAACATATACTTTATGGAATTCAAAGCCTAATTTTAATAATATATTCTTTTTGGAATATATACTTTATAGATTAAATAAAACATATAGATGCCAGCTTTTAAATATAAATAAGGGGACAAAACTGAGATAGGAAAAGCGTAACTTTTACATAAAATGTTTTGACTACAAGACACTGACATCCCTGATCTGGGGTATTTTTAGACCACTGACTCACCAGCTTTGGGCACTGAAGGGTGATCTTGGGTATGTTTTAGACCACTGGCTCACCAGCTTTGGGCACTGAAGGGTGATCTTGGGTATGTTTTAGACCACTGGCTCACCAGCTTTGGGCACTGAAGGGTGAATACGAACTGAGTTTCAGCGACAACTACGAGGGGATCATTCAACATTTTAATTCTTTTCCAGTCCCACTCATTGGGAGGGGCAGGCAATCCCTAGGGGCAAGGCGTGTAACGTGCTCAGGTTACCCCAAACTGCGATTAAGAGGCGTCCGTATATAATTGCCTAAATCGGTATTGTTGTATGCAGCTTTGTTGGCATGGTCTCGTATGCCTCTAATGGACCCGGCCTCTCGTTCAACATAATTGCTACTGATCTGATGTATTTTTAGAGTGTGGTCTTTAGCTAAATGACATTTAATAACACATCTCTATCTCTTTTTTAAAATCAATTTTCTTTCTTTTAAGGATATAGTCACCCACCAGCAAATCTTTTCATTAAAAACCCATGGCGTTACATACTCAGCCAAAGAATGAGGGACAAAACAACGTTAAAACTGAGGATGTGTTGCCCCTGATGAAGGCTGTTGAAGATAATCACCTTGACGAGTTCCTCAATCTGCTTAAATCTGGCGCAGATGCTACAGCCGTGAATGAATCCGGAGAATCTTGTTTAACTGCAGCGGCGTCTCTTCGTCATTTAGAAATGACGAAGGCTTTGATAGCTTCCGGGGCAGACATCAATACGGCGTGCCCAAGGGGTACAACTGCTCTGATGGCTGCCTCCCAAAACGGCCAATTGCACACTGTTCAACTACTCATTGACAGCAACGCTGACGTCAATATTCACAGCAAAAGCGGGGCCACTGCTCTCATATCGGCTGTCGAGAAGGGACACACCGACATTGCCGAGTTGCTGCTGCTGAGAGGAGCAGACGTGAATGCTGCTCGAGCCGATGGTAACACGGCGCTTTTGCTGGCGTCAGAACGTGGCAGTGTTCCTATGGTGAGGATTCTCTTAGAGAATGGATGCAACATCAACGCTCAGAACAAAGACGGGTTCACGGCAAGTCTCATAGCAGCAGACAAGTCACATCGAGACGTTCTGAAGCTGTTGTGCGATTATAAAGCTGATATGGACCTCCCTTGTCTTTACGGCTACACGCCAGTCTTCGTGGCAGTCTTGAAGCACGACGTCGCCGCTCTGGAACTCATCATCGACAGCGGCTGCGACACCAATGTCACAGACAACCTCGGGCTCACCTCGTTGATGCACGCCTCCTGGCAAGGTCGGCACGAGCTCGTCCGTGTCTTCTGCGAGCTCGGCACCAACGTGAACATTCAGAATCCGAAAAACGGCAGAACGGCTCTCCATTACGGTGTGATTAAAAATAATCTGACGGTGGTGAAATATCTGGTGGATGCCAAAGCCTGTTTGAACGTCATCGACAGAGCGAGCAAGACGCCGCTGGACCTCGCGATGCCGGGCCAAGTTAGAGACTTTTTGATTTCTGTTGGAGCCTACGAGTGTGGCTTAAGGAGGGAGTCTTCGTTCTGCTCGGGTAGCCTCAGGAGTTCGCATTTAAGTTTGAGATCCGTGACCAGTTTTGAGAAATTTTACACGGATGCCCATAAAGTGCCTAACAAAGTCATAGCCACAGTCAAGTATTCTTTTAACGAAGGTAGGTCACTAACTAACTTCCTTAAGAAAATCAGCAAACTATCGAGCCAGAGCTCATAAAGTCTTCCCCAGCGCCTTACGTCGCTAGCCCGACCGGCCTTCAACCATTCCCCCAGTGGCCTTTATTCCAGTCAGGCCACGAAGCGGCACGCCACGGGCATTGCGCCCCAGAGGCAGCTACATCCACCCTTCCACTCGATTGACTATGTGAGTGAGGTGGCATCAGAGAAGGAACTTCGGGCCGGCCGGGGAGCTGCTCGCATAGCAACCGGGTCGGACTTTCTAGGGGCTGGGTGGATATATTTTAGTCTCTAAATCCCCCCTTCCCACCCGGGGGGACGCGTAGGTGTTTAACAGACGCCCTCTAATAGGGTTTACGTGGTAGTCTGCGGTGTGACTAACTCAGAGAGAAAGAGGTTGCCTAGGAGCAGTACCCTCAAAGACTGCATATTTAGTATCATCGGTGAGGGTCGCCACGTTCCCTCACCTCATATCCATATGGCAACTGTAATCATGTCCGGACATGTTTCTGCGTTATTTTCGACTGTTCTTGGTAGAAACCATGCAACCGTGCTCTTTCTAACGAAGTTTCAGTGCGTTACCTTTGCCTTCGAGGGCAGGTCCCCTACACGGTGATACTGTGCCCCGGGTAACGTTTCTGGGGGTTTGTGGGGGGGGGGGACGGGGGGGGGA